TGTAAATGTGAATAAAACTTAACACACTGATTCCCAAACATGCAAATCAAACAAGACAATACCGCATTATGATTGGTTGGATCAACCGTCAATCAAACTGAGGGACCAATTAAGATTAAACTGAGGTGGTTCAAATAAAATGATAACAGATAAAACCAAACATTTCTTTTTTCTGTTAATAAAATCCTATTTAATTCCACATGCGAACTCTGTTGGTTTTGAAATAATTTTTTTTACCCATAGCTTTACAGCACATGTGTATTTTTTGTGTGGGATAATATAATATCTTTAATCAGATCTGGCACGACAATAGATTATTTACTGTTGCCCAATTAAGCCAGTTACACAACCAACATGCTTTCTTTTTGACACACTCAGTGTTCCTTTAAAAAATAGGATTCCTGTGAAATGATGCACAATGCCAAGCTGACTCATTAATTCTTTTTAATTCCAAAAGTACAATTTAATCAACTGCACGTGTTGTTTTTGACTGAGAATAATGCTGCAGCTATAGACCTTATTCTCCGCAGATGAGCGGGCGCTGCCTTTTGAATCTTTTTGGCTCGAGACTTCCGGTCTCATTCACTTCCATTCATTTTAAGACATTAAAAACTGCTCATTACGCTGCTTGATGATGCAATTTGATATTTTCTTGTTATATTATACTACTTGGTCTGTATAGTCATGCAAACATTTGTTTGTAGAGCAAGTAGTTTGACCGTTTTCTGCCGTTTATTATTCCTAGTCATTTCTCCCATAGGCGACTGAATCGGAAGTTCTAAGACAATCGTGAAATCAGGCGCACTTCCGCATTTCAGAATAACGTCAATAGCTTAAAAGTGTAGTGGGGGGAATTTTTGGATATAAACTTTTAAATATGAATAAAATTGTATAAATTGATTTCCAAACATGCAAATGGGCATATCAAACAAGACAATTGTGCATTATGATTGGTTGGATCAGCTGTCAATGAAATTTATGATTTATTAAGATTAAAACTGTTAGTTTAGATAAATTGATAACAGAAAAAACCAGCCTGATCTCACGAGGAAACGTAAGTATTTTATGTTTTTCTGTTTAGTGGCTAACTCATTATTTCGAGTTCAGTCGTACGAAGATTTACGATTTTAAAAAGGAGGCGTGGCACCTTACCCCACCCCTAACCCCAACCGTCATTGGGTGATGAGCAAACCGTACGAAATAGTACGAATTAGATCGGATGAATTCATACGAATTAGCCACTAAATCAAAAACTTACGAATTGCTGTGAGATTGCGTTGATAAAACCAAACACATTTTTCGTATTCATATTTTCTGTTGATAAAATCCTAACTAATTTCGGGAGCTTAGACTCTGTTGACTTTGCAATATTTTTTTTTTTACCCAATTGACTTGAATATTATCGTTAAATAGCGTTAAAATTTTAACACTTCTAGACAGATTTTACAACATATTAAATAAAATGTTGTTACGTAGCGGATGCACCTCGCTACGCACATAAGGTTAAGAATGATCGCTGTTAAAAGAGTTCACCCGGAGTCCCCGTTCCTGTTCCCCAAGCACACACACACACAGGCCAAGTTGTCAAAAGGGATAACAGATTTATAAAACAAATATTTCGGTATCAGAATCAGGGAACAAAATGGCCAAAACAACAAACAAAACAAGGTACGCTACCTAATATTGTTAACGCTTGTTAACATTAGTTAATGCAACATGAGTTAACATGAACTAACTCTGAACTACTGTATATTCATTAACCAACGTTAACTAACATGAACAAATACAGTAGTAAATGTATTGTTCATTGTTTGTTCATGTTAGGAAATGCATTAATTAATATTAACTAATGAACCTTATTGTAAAGTGGGACCTAAATTTCTTACCTAAATCGAAAATAAAGTTCAGTAAATAAAACATACAATTCTACCCTCCATAACCAACCATAAAACAGGAGAAAACGGGACAAAAGAAAAAGGGCCTTCCCTTTGATCATTAAGCAGTACGTAAACATTTAGCCACAGCTAACACAGAATAGCTCAGAATAGCACAGATTAATATAGGCTTCTTGGCATTGGTCAGAATTCTCCAGGGCCCTACGAGGTTGCTTACCTCTCTTATTGATTAAGTCGGCCCCTACTCGCACCACACTCTGTTTAACTAATTTGAACGGAAGTTATGTGGCACACGTCCATCCACGATGTCATCAACTAACCACAACTAACCCCAAATTCCAACCCAAGCTCATTCTGGAAACGTAGCCCCGCGGACGTTTCTGGAGACTGCGATTTACGTGGCTGGAGGTACGTACGGACGCGTTTAGTTTTTTTCGAGCGAACGCTGTGGGGCGGTGTGGCGCCGCTCCGCTCCTCCTCTTCGTGCTCGCCGGCCGACGGCTCGCCTCCGAGTGGAGGGCTTTCCCAATGCAACCAGTTTGTACGCTTAGCTCACAGCGTTGCGTCGGCGTAGCGGAGGGCCCGGGAGGAGGAGGAGCCAGCCGGGGGGACGACGACTGGAATCGAGTCCGGGGAACAGCAGTTCCGGAAATCAGGTAAGATGAAAAACAGAATCCAAAAAAATAAGGGCGAGACCGCGGCGGGATCCGAAAACGCGGTCGAAATCGAAGACGAGGGCTTTTGCTTTTTTTTTTTTTTTCTGGACGGCTTTTGCAAACTGTTGCTTGGGTTTAGGAAAGGAGGAGGAGGAGGAAGAGGAGGGTGGCCGGGTCGGTCGGGTCGGCCGATCCGGCGGCTTTTCGCGCGAGAACAGCGCGGGGCGAACGGCGCACGCTCCTGAGAGGTTGCTCGAGATGCGAAAAAGCGCGCACAGCTGCCTCTCACAGATCCGCGAAAAACAAAAAACGCTCGAATACGTACCTCCCGGGACGTATCTCGCGGTCCGCAGAAACGTCCGCAGGGCTACGTTGCCACAATGAGCCCGGGTTGCCAAATTGATTACTCACTACACGCCAAAAGAGGATCAACAACAGTTTTGTTTTTATCTCTATGGGAAAATTACTTGCTGCTGAAAATTGGCGTTGGCATCAATGCACTTCATTGAAAGATGTAATCATAATAAAAAAAATTGTTTACAACAGATCACTCATCAGTTCCGCTCTCATAAATGAATGATAGCAGATTTTGTTTTTTTTACTGTGCACGAGTTACGGCCTGTTTTTATGACAGTTTTATAATGCTTTAGAAGGCTTCACTCCCTGTTTATATTATATCAGCATGCAAATCATTGACTAATATAACATATTTTATATTCCCTCATCTTGGAATTAAGTCAGTCATACAGCTTTAAAAAGAGCAGATAAGTTCAATTTAGATGTGAATAATTTCTTAAATCTAGCTTATTACAGTGCATTCGGAAAGTATTCATAGCGCTTCACTTTTTCCACATTTGTTTGTTACAGCCTTATTTTAAAAATAGATTAAATTAATTTATTTCCTCAAAATTCTCCACACAATACCCCATAATGACAATGTGAAAAAAGAGTTTTGGAAATTGTTGCAAATGTATTAAAAATAACAAACAATATAAATATACATTAATAAAAATAATAAAACCTAAACAAATTACATGTACATCAGTATTCACAGCCTTTGCTCAATACAGCCTCAAGTCTTTTTGAATATGACGCCACAAGCTTGGCACACCTGTCTTTGGGAATCTTTGCACATTCCTTGCAGTACTTCTCAAGCTCTATCAGGTTGGATGGGAAGCGACGGTGTACAGCCATTTTCGGATCTCTCCAGAGATGTTCAATAGGATGTAGGTCTGAGCTCTGGCTAGGGCACTCAAGGACATTCACTGAGTTGTTGTGAAGCCACTCCATTGATATTTTGGCGGTGTGCTTTGGGTCATTGTCCTGCTGGAAGACGAACTATCACCCCAGTCTGAGTTCAAAAGTACTCTGAAGCAGGTTTTCATTCAGGATGTCTCTGTACATTGCTGCATTCATCTTTCCCTCTATCTTGACTAGTCTTCCAGTTCCTGTTGCTTAAAAACATCCCCACAGCATGATGCTGCCACCACCATGCTTCACTGTAGGGATGGTATTAGCCTGGTGATGAGCGGTGCCTGGTTTCCTCCAAATGTAACGTCTGGCATTCACTCCAAAGAGTTCAGTTTTAGTCTCATCAGAGTAGAGAATTTAGTTTCTTATAGTCTGAGAGTCCTTCAGATGCCTTTTGCGAAATTCCAGGTGGGGAGAGGCTTCCGTCCGCCCACTCTACCATACAGGCCTGATTGGTGGATTGCTGCACAGATGGTTGTCCTTCTCAAAGGTTGTCTTCTCTCCACAGAAGAACGCTGGAGCTCAGACAGAGTGACCATCGGGTTATTGATCACCTCCCTGACTAACGCTCTTCTACCCCGATCACTCAGCTTAGATTGCCGGCCAGCTCTAGGAAGAGTCCTGGTGGTTCCAATCATCTTCAACTTACAGATGATGGAGGCCGCTGTGCTCAGTGGAGCTTTCAGACCAGCAGAAATGTTTCTGTAACCTTCCCCAGCCTTGTGCCTCCAGACAATCCTGTCTCGGAGGTCTACAGACAATTCCTTTGTCCTCATGCTTGGTTTGTGCTTTGACATGCACTGTCAACCCTGGGAGCTTATATAGACAGGTGTCTGCCTTTTCAAATCATGTCCATCAACTGAATTGACCACAGGTGGACTCCAATGAAGCTGCTGAAACATCTCAAGAATGATCAGTGGAAACAAAATATACCTGAGCTCAATTTACAGCTTCACAGCAAAGGCTGTCAATACTGATGTACATGTGATTTCTCAGGTTTTTATTTTAAATAAATTTGCAACAATTTCAAAAACTCTTATTTCACATTGTCATTATGGGGGATTGTGTGTAGAATGTTGAAACAAATGAATTTAATCCATTTTGGAATAGGGCTGTAACATAAACTAATGTGGAAAAAGTGGAGCGCTATCAATACTTTCCGGATGCACTGTGCATGCAATAAATACCAACAGTGACAGTGTATTAATATGATTTTTTATTGTTATTATTTTATTAATCATACAAGCAGATGTCATAATATAAAACCAATGTAAATATAAAGGAACACATGATGAAAGGACAATTCAGTGGAACAATAAAAATAAATATAGTTAATAATATACAGTATATTGTTAAGGTCAGGTAAAGTCACAGTGATAACAGTCCATTCGCAAGCTACGATGCAGGTTGCTTTCACATTCAATTCTTCATTTACCACCCAGAGATGATAAAATATAATCACAGTAATGCAGTTTCCCCAGCTGCTCGGTGAATGGTCATTTTAATTCGTGGTCATTATTGTTGAAAATGTTGTTGTTGTCTGTGCTGGTGCTGCTGTTGCTGCTAATTTAGTAGCTGATGCTGCAAACCTGAAGAGGGAGAAACACAAATTAATGTCTGAAGATCGAACCAAACGTTAAACAACATTACAGTCAATGGGGTAAATGCACAGCTTAATGTGATTATTCTGAGTTTCATTATGTTCTTCTTCCAGCATCGATGTTTTGATGAATACATTCAGTTAAATAGACTTAAGCATTCATTTAGTTGTTCAAGTGTAAAATGAGGTGAAAGATCAGCAGGCGAGCGCAGAAACTCCATTGAAAATGCTGGAACAAAATACACTGTCATATTATAAACACATGGCGGAGGGGAAATGGATATTAATGCAGTGCTTCTTGCTGGTCTGAGACCCACTTTATATCATATATCTATCAGGCAGTGAGGATCACTGATTTTTAAAGAAATCAGACCTTAAACGTGGCTATTTTATAATGGAAAGACTTCATTGGAAGCACTGAGGCTGAATGGCTGGCTGAAATTAAAAGTCTGTGTGCATATTGCACATTTAAATCATGCAAACAGATAAAATAATAAATAAACAGTGCCTCATTCTCTTTAAGGGAAAGCATGCATCTCTTAATGCTTTTGCACCATGAGCCTAGATCATTAAAATGGAGCCTATTGATTTCCAGTGATTGATTTTCAGTGTTTTTTTTTTCCTGCTATGGATGTCAATGTCTGTTCCTCCAGCATTCTTCAGATTATCTTATTTGTGTTCAACAGAAGACAGAAACTCATAAAAGTTTACAGTCACCTGAGTGAGAGTAACTGATGAGATATGTTCATTTTTGGGTGAACTGCCCCTTTAAATACAGTTTAAGTCACAGTAATAAATCATAAGTTTGTGTTGCTTATTGATTATTTAAGATGAAAAAATAACTAGTGTTGCAAATTACACCTGTTAAAATTTGCATAACTTAATATATATATATATATATATATATATATATATATATATATATATATATATATATATATATATATAGTAAAATAAGTTTTAATTGTGTATTCATATAACTTTTAAAGTAGCCGTCCTGTGAAATTTCCTTTTTTTCATTCACATATACTGACCTTTATTAGATTAATGTTTTGATTAAGAACAAAATGACAGGAAATAATGTGAAATAAAATTAGAGGAAATATTTAAATCAAAATTAATACAATTTAACAGGAAAGCTAATAACTTATGTTTAAATGCATATAATTTTTAAACAACTTTATCTTCAACTGCATACTTTAATATTTGTATTTATGGCTAATATAAGTGTTTGCTTGCATTAAGTAAAAACGTTCACTTTCTGGTTGTTTAAAAAACTTTGACAAGTTGCCCCCTTTTTAAGATCATCTCATAGCTAGGGGCAGACAGAATCTGCGGACATTTTGTTGCTATTTCAGCGCAGAATTTTATAAAAAATCTGCAGATTTATGCAGAATGCGGAGAATCATAACTGCATGTATCAAATAAAAAATAAGACCTGTTTATATTTATTTAACGCTTACAATGCAAATCCAATTAGATCCAGTTTATTTGGTAAACAAAGCAAGTCTCTCGTATAATGTCCCTACTGAACGACAACAGAAATAGAAAATATTACTTTACAAACTGTGTTGTAAATAAATCATATGAACATGCTAATATTTGTCAATAATATTACTGAAATTAACCTAAAAACTAAATAAATATAAGTTTACATGCATTTACACGGGGAAAAATCAGCGGAATTCTGTGCACGCAGATTCCGTATGGGTCTGCTCATAGCTAACTTTCCTGATCCTTAAATTTAAACACTTATAAATTTAGATAAATATGTAATTATTGATTTTTCTTATTTTTTATTTCATTTATTTATTTACGTTTGTTTATTGATATGAAGTCGACTTATCACATTTGCGAGCAACAAGGGGCACAACAGGATTCCAGCGACAAGCCATTTGGCCGTGTGAAATAAATGCAGTGCGACAGACACATTTAAATACCAGCCACTGCACTCCCAATGAAATAATAAAGACTTTTAGTCTGATTAATACCTATTAAAACTGTTTAACATTATTAATGGGGATTTTCAGTGATGACTGTTGTCACAGCTCAGAATTTCATTTATTTTAGTTATTTTATTGTCAAGATCTGAGGTGAACTATCTGCTGCTGCTTTCAGTATGGCAATAAATGTCATGTAAAATGATATTTAAGCTCACATTGGTGGCATTTAACACTGAATAAAGCACATGAATTAGTTTTAGTTTATGCTGTTTTGCTGCAAAGTTGTGAAAATGGACACTTTGTGAATCCCCGTCGCAGACGGTTATGACAAAAACTCATTTTAACATGGAAAGTATAGCTTTTATTGCATGTTGCACGTTTAGTTACGTGTTGTGAGGAGGGAAGTGTCTATTAGTTTTGTGTTGTTGAGTAATAATTCAAAGTTAATGTTGTAATTTGCTGATTTCATGCTGGAAATTCAAAAAAAAAAAAAAAAAAAACTAAATTTAAACAAGAACTTACTTTTCCTTGAGGGAAATCACCCACGTCTCGGTAGGATTGAGACAAATCTGTCCTTTCTTAAGTGTGGCGCTGTTGAAAACAGATGTAAAACTCTTTAAAATCGACAGAATGACACTCATCATTGCAGCAAAAGGTCAAAAAGTCACACTGATTTCATCATTAAATGTGCAGGTACAGTCATTTACTCCCTCACGTCTTGCTAAATCACGATGACTTTGTTTCTTGCATGAAAAATGCAAAAATGCATTTACAGCAGAATGTCCAAGCAGATAAATTAAGCTCGATAGTGCAAAGCAAGACTTTTTTTCTGTGAAAATCTCTAAACATCTACTTTGATGAACATTAAGGTGATAAGGACAACAGACGGGCGAATTACTAGAAAAATGTGCATTATTTTCTAATAATTAACTTTAGTCAGCTATTTCTTTTATACTAGAGCTGAACTACTGTTCAAATGTTGTATTTCAGACATTTGTCAGGTTTTTGTGCTCAAACTGCTCCTGTGAGTAGCGTGAGTAGCCTCCTGTTGTGTTTTTAATGTGGTTTTTGACTGTTGTAACTGTGAAATAACTCAAATCAATAACTCAAATAGAGCTGTAATGTGGTCAAAACCTGCCGGAACTACTTTATCTGTGCGTTTACATAAAAATAATAGTGTTCAGCAGCTAATCAGAATCAAGCCTTCAACATCATAGTACAACACAGCTTAATTAATAGAGGTGAAGCACTCATGTAGCATCACATATTCGACAATTCATAAACTAAACTGTGAATAAATGTTTCACACAATTGAGGGAATTAAGGGAAGGAATTAAGTTAGCTTAGAAGTTTTTACAAATTTAAGTGGACTGAACAATAAACTATTAAGTTGTCCCCCCCAAAAAACCCAGGAATTGTGTTGTTTCAGCTCATTTTAAATAGTTTGAACAAACAGCAAACATTTTTTTCGAGTGTACATTGTAAAAATGCCAAGTTCAGGTTGTCCCAACTCAAATCAAATAAGTTAATTTAACTAATTTAGGTGGCTTGAACAATAAACTATTTAGTTGTCCTCTCAAAAACCCTCAAGAATTGTGTTGTTTCAGCTCATTTTAAATAGTTTGAACAAACTGCAAACAGTTTTATTAGTGTACTTTGTAGAAATGCTGGGTTCAGGTTGTCCCAACTCAAATCAAATAAGTTAACTTTACTCATTTAAGTGCACTGAACAATAAACAATTGAGGTGTCCCAAAAAAACCCTCAAGAATTGTGTTGTTTCAGCTCTTTTTAAATATTTTTAACAAACTGCAAACAGTTTTCGAGTGTACTTTGTGGAAATGCTGGGTTCAGGTTGTCCCAACTCAAATCAAATAAGTTAACTTCACTCATTTAAGTGGACTGAACATTACACTATTAAGCTGTCCCCCCAAAAAAGAAGAATTGTGTTGTTTCAGCTCATTTTAAACAGTTTAAACAAACAGCAAACAGTTTTTTGAGTGTACATTGTAAAATGCTGAGTTCAAGTTGTCCAAACTCAAATCAATTAAGTTAACTTAACTAATTTAAGTGGATTGAACATCAAGCAATTATGTTGCCCCCTCAAAACAATCTCAAGTAGTTTAAACAAGCAGCAAAATAATGCTTTGTTCACACTTTCCAAATAACAGTACACAAATAATGATGTATTAATGTGTAAACAACGTTACTTTATTATAAACTAATGATGAATCAATGCATGCGCTAATCATGAACTAACTTTAACTACAACATGAGTCGCATGAGTGTCAATAGCAACTACCCTAATTACTTGTTAGCACATGTTGTTAATTAACATATTAAGCTTAATAAGCTTAAGCTAAATGTAAGCAACATGACCTCAAGATTTATCAATATATAAATATGTCATGCGCAGGGCCAGACGGAATCTGCCAACGTTTCTTGCTATTTCTGCGGAGAATTTTGGTAAAAATCTGCGGATTTCTGCGGAATTATTTTTGGAGTATCCAGCTAAGTATCATAACTAAAACCTTAATATATTATATAAAATGTAATAAATTACTGAATAAAAACTGAATAAATTCAGATTTACACATTTACTCAAGTAAATAAACAGAATTAATAATGGGCAAAAAATCTGCGCGCGCAGATTCCGTGTGGGTCTAGTCATGACTTGACTTGGAGGGGCACATCACCATTAACTCGTCCTCACTCATGAACTCCTGTGTTTAAACTGTTCACGTTGATACTGATTAACCACCTTTCTGTTGTTATTCAGTGTAAACCCACTAGTCGGACGTGCATAAGGAGTTCATGAGTAGTTTAGGAGGAGTTAATGATGATGTGCCCCTCTAAGTAAAGTCATGACATAGTTATACATTAACATGTTATGAGTTCATAACAATCATGTACTAACAAGTACATAAGGTAACTGTTATTCACACATGAACTCAAGTTGTAGTTAAAGCTAGTTCATGATTAGCTCATGCAATAACTCCTCTTTATTTCATAATGTTTAGGTTACAAATGAACAAATCATTATTCATGCACTGTTATTGTAAAGTGCTACCAATTTTTTATTTTTTTTTGGAGTGTACCAGTCAAATTTCATTCAAAGGACGCATGCTTTTGAAACATTTAAAAGCATCCAAGCATTTATCTACCTTGTTATTTTTTATTTAAATGCAATGATAAAAGCTGTTTACTGCACATGTTGTGTTAGTTTGTAAATATTTGCATTGTTAACACTTACATGATCTCCTCGTTTCTGCAGTGTGATCCAGCAGGAGTCACCTTCAGTCCGAGTACTTGTCGTTTAGGAATTGGTGGTTTTGAATGAGTTTTAATGCACTGACAGCGCTGCGGTGGAGGTAGAGCTTCACCTGCAGTGACAGAGAGAGAGATTTAGAATAAGATAAACCTGAAGTATTGATCAGAAAGTCAATGTTAGTATCTGCTTACCCTCATTGGCGCACAGCAGTGCAGTCGTGCAGATCAGAAGCATGAAGGCTGAAACGCTCAACTTCATCATCTTGAAGAGTTCTGGTGCAGATTGAAGCCGGTGTGTGTGGAGTGTGTGTGGAGTGTGTGTCTAACAGAGGTTGACTCTCCCTTTTAAACACTTAAACTCCCACACAACGTGACAGAGTTTATTGCGCAATCCAGATTTCCGACTAAACCTCTCTTCCAAGGAACCCTCACTCTAATACTCACTTTCAATGCTTAATATGTTAAAGACATTTCACAATAAAAATGAAGCAACATTGACAGTTTTGTTGCCAGTTAGAGATTTTTTAAAGTGCAACTAAATTGAGTGAGTGTGTAAGAATAAATATTTCTAAACTGTGTCATGTTTGATATGCATGTTTTCATGCATGTTTTCACCTACTATTCTGGCGTCTGGCTGATAGATTTGTATTTTTATTTTTAGCAATAAAAGTTTTTTTAATATGGTTTTGTCCTAAATTACAAGAATATTGGGAAAATATATTTGAATGTTTGGTCCCACTTTATATTAAGTGGCCTTAACTAATATGTACTTACACAGGAATTAATAGTTTGTTACAATGTACCTATTGCATAAATACATGTATTTACTGTGTACTTATGCTTGATAAATACATGTATGTAATTAAATCTGTATTTAACTTTTGTAATTACATTTGTAAATACACTGTTGACCTTCCCTTACACCTTAACCCACCCGTAAACCTACCCATGCCACCAAACCTGTCCATAACCCAACCTCTATCCCAACTCAAAAGCACCACAAGTGTTCTCAAATACATCATAAACACAGTAAGTACATTGTATTTATTTTTTGATGTAAGTACATAGTAGTTAAGGATACTTAATATAAAGTGGGACCGACTGTTTTTCTAAAACCCTCAAAGGAAAACTTGAACCATGTCCACTTATAGCTGTTCTTGGGATATTTAGTAATTTAGAGATGTTTAATAAATATGAAAGGCAAGCCATGTTATTTGGTACGGTAATTGCCAAAAGGGTGATTTTGAGAATGTGGAAAACTGAATCTGTACCTAAATTTGGTATGTGGGGTAGAGATATTGTAAACATGCTTGCTTTGGAGAGGTTGAGATCTATCAATAATGACAAATTGCGGATGTTTGATAAAACATGGGGACAGATATTAGAACACCTTTATGTACAGGTGTCAAACTCAGTTCCAAAAGGGCCGCAGCTCTGCACAGTTTAGTTCCAACCCTAATTAAACACACCTAATCAAACTAATTGAGTCATTCAGGCTTGTTTGAAACCTACAGGTAAGTGTGTTGGAGCAGGGTTGGAACTAAACTGTGCAGGGCTTCGGCCCTCCAGAAATTGAGTTTGACACCCCTGCCTTAATGCATTGAAAGAAACACAAGCTAACCAATAACCCCTTTTGATAACACAGTAATTAAAGATTGAGTTTAATTGATACTCACAATTCATAATCTATAATATTCTTAATATTTTGTGACCAAACTATTATTTGACAATAACACTGTAGTCAGGATAATGCATTTTTTTTTGGTGATACAACAACGTTACTTTATAATTGCTTCATTTTTGTTTTGCATAAACCTGACCAGCTAAATTATATTTTGCTTTTAGGTGCATTTGTCCCTCCGTGTCTGTTGTTCGGTTGTTCTGTCATAGATTAGTGTTTTTTTTTAT